CTCGGCGCGGGCGCGGGGCCCTCCAACCCAGCGCTCCGAGTCCCCCACCTGCCTCCCTCCTCAGCTCTGCACCGCGAGAGGCAGGATTCCATCAGGAGAGCGAGGCAGGATCAATCAGGAGAGCGAGGCAGGATCAATCAGGAGAGCGAGGCAGGATTCCATCAGGAGGGCGCTCTGCCCACGTCAGGCCACCACACTGAGGCAGGAGGGAGAAGGGGCCCTCGGGGACACGGGAGGAGCCTGGCTCTGCAGCTGGGAGCTCAGGAGAGGAGCTCACGGCTCCGGCAGGGAGCCAGGGAGGCTCAAAGAGGAGATCCCTTGGGCAAGAGAAAGCCCTTGCCTCTCCTGACAGCCCAGAGAGCACACGTCAGCATGATCACAGGCTGGAGATGCCTGTGAACGAGCGTAGGACTTTCCTTGGGGATCGAAGAGGTGGAGAACAAGAAAGGAGCCACAGGCTCTCTGCAATGACAGTTCCAGCCCAAAGCACCTGTACCCCACAGAGCATAGACTCCCTAAAGCGAGGCAAGGAGCCCCAGCACAGGCCAAGCTGGCACTTACCACAAGGCGAATATCCTTTATTTCCCCAATGCCCACGTTAATGCCTTTCCTCTCGTTCACGGGCAGGCGGATGTTGATGAGGTAGTACTTGTGAGCCACGCTTCCAATCTCCATGAACGGGAGGAAGTCACAGTCGTAGTGGCGGCCTTCCGAGTCCAGAGTCTAGGGGAAGGACACAGAGCGGCCGTGGTGGTCAGCTCCCTTCACGCGAGAGCACGGCCTTCGTCGCGTGTTTCTGCAAAACCCCAACTCCGAACACAGCTGCGAACCTTACTTTGGGATTGTGCTTTGGTTGCTTTATCTCTTGTAAGTCTAGAGACACGTATCAGCAATCTGGGGGCTTCTTCCACAAGCTTTTGATTGTTTTGGGTCATTGCAATAATACCATTTGAACACAAGCCCATTTCTGTTTCAGGTTCTTAAATATACTGAAAACCACCAAAACCTTTCACAAAATGCTAGTCTAGTTTGGGATCCAAATTTCCCCCTCAGCAGGCACAACCTGAGACAAAACATGCGTGCAGACCTCTCACACCTTGGTCTGGGGGTTCTGAAGTCCTGTTCTACCAGCCATACTCCCTTCTGCACCTTGTACCTAGCTACTGTCAGAATGGCCCCATGGAAGAGGACAAGTGTTCCTGGAGGTGCAAGCGGTTTGCTGAAAGGGACTGCTTGCTGAAATGGGAGGACAAGGCCCAGAGCTGCAAAACATGGCACGGTGAAGGCCCCAGAGCAATTCAAGCCCGGAATTACAGTCTGATTACAGTCTGTAGCACCAAAAAAAAAAAGTTTTATTTGACTAAGATATTCGGTTCTCACCGCAGGCTGTGCTCTTTGTTCCTAAGCCTTATGCCTTGAGGCATTAAGCAACTATTTCAAGAAACTCTGGTCCTGTCTCCTCCTGTCCTTTGACTGCTGCAGGTTCCTCGATAAGTTACTTTCCTTGCCATTTTTTTTCCTGTTTGCACTTGGACCCATGCATTGATCTCAGCCTCTTCTTTGTTATTGCCCTGATTCACACTCTAACTTCAGCCCTTTCCTTACATCATGAAACAAAACCAACTGCACAAGGAGCTCATCAGGTTTTCAAAGATTTTGGTCCAAAATAAAGCTGACAAGTTTGAAAGTTAGGGTGGAACAATTCGGTCAGTGCGCTCCCACACCTCCCCGCTTCCAGCATTACCAGAACACCTTACTTTTGGTGAGCCGAAGGTGCATTTCAGCTTCCTGAGCTCCACTGCATGTGCTATTTCCTCCCAGTCATCAAACATGTCATCGCGGTACGCTAAGGACACATCCAGTGTAATTTCTGCGTTTTCTTCTGCAAGGGTAAGGAAACATCAAGCTTGTTAGGCAGGACAGGAATGGTAGAGAGCACCCAAGAGGTCAAAGGGCCCCTAAGTGCTGAAAGGTCCTAGAAAGGAGGCAACATTACAGCGAGAGTGAAGCCTTCCTGTTCCAGACAATAGAGGTCAAACTCCCTTTATTCAAAGCATTTATTTCCTCTCTAGTAGAGGAATAAGAGCCTAGTTGCTATGGGTCATAAAAGCCTGATACATTGCTAACGTATGACCTACAGCTTGTGCCATGGCTGTGGGTGAAGGCCATTATTTATGCAGCATTAGAAGCTATAGTTCACATAAAACCAAAACCCAGGTGGTTGCAAAGGCAGACAATAAACCGAGAAGTCGTCCAGCACACTCACCTCCACACCCTGCCAGAGGGACTAAGGCAAGCTTTTACTCAGACCTTCTGCAGTTAATAAATGGATATGCATCAGATCCTTCCTTTTCAGAAAGTAAGGATATTGCATCACAAAATATGTTTTAAATGTACATTGATTTTTT